AAGGGACATTATCAAAGAACAATATAGGCTATATACTTTATCTAAAATTCTATTTATCGGTGCGAAACTAGGCCTAATTGATAGAAAATCATATATATTTGTGGGATAATAAAAAATCGAACTAGCTGTTTAGACTCTGTGTTGATACATAAACTAGTAAGGAAAAGCCTTTTTTAATTTTAGATACTCAAGAGCCCCCTCTTCAACTTATATCATCGTGCACGATCGTAATTGATAGGCATGCGCACGCGACGCCGTCTCACATTCAAAATTCAAATAATAGCCGTTGAGCGGTAAGTGGCGCGGGCGCAGACGTATTGTTATTAGGGTTACACCACCAAAGGGCACTGCCCTACAAATAGAATGGCATACTGCACTAATAGAGCTCTATATCACATAATCATACAAATTACTTTCACTGACATCGGAGATAGTTCCGAGAATGATAGATAGTTGTTTAAATTGTTAATACAAACAAATCACGTATGGCCGTGAAGATTGAATAGTTCTTAAACGATTTCAAGAAAGATTTGATTTAAATTTCTCAATCATATGTATTTATTGTATTACCACTAATTATGAGCCTAGTCTAATGTTAGGTACTTTTTGTAATTAAAAATTTTCTTTTTGTAATGAAATCAGCATGAACAATATGTTAGTTCCACTTGGCTTTGTATCAAATACAAACTCATAAATCACTGTACAAAAATTATATTTTTTTTACATTAAAAAATAAATAAATAAATAAAATATGAATGCATTTTCTTTTTATGCCTTTATTATAATGTATGTAATTTTTATAATATAAATATATTATTTAAATATTACCTATAAAGAATTTCATTAAATGGGATGTGACGAAATATACTGAACCTTAAAAAACAAATTATAACATTTTATTATTTATCTATATTTTTGGCAAATATTATTAATAAAAACAGTTGAAAAATTTAAAACAAAAAATAAATTTTGTTTATTTTTTACTTTATTTATACGTACGTTTCTTTATATGTTCTTTTTAACTGTTAAATGTGTAAGCAAACTATAAATACTCCGTTTGCGGTAATTATCTTATATCAACTATGAAAAACACCTGACAACCCTCTATAGGTTTACAAAACAAAATGGCGGCACATCCGGTTACTCGGAACTGCCCAAATCGGATTATAACGCCCGCGTATTACCAACACTATCCGGTGCACATGCCCGGATACCTCTGAATTCTTCCATCATGACTTTATATTCTTCTTTGGTAAATACTTTTACATCGCTATATAAATATAAATCTAGTCTGTTTTTTTTATTGTATTAATTGATAGGGACAAAAATAGCCTATTTATTTTTTATCCCAAATACTATAGTTAAACTAAATATCAAATAGTGCCTAAAGGTCACAAACAAATTGACTTTCACATTTATAATATTAGCAAACTATATCTCAGAATAATTCCGTATAAAGTTAAAAAGTTTCCCACGTAACAACATAAAACAGGGCTTGTTTGCCTCAAAACGATTATGAAAAAACTTATCAGAATATGTTTATAATGAGCAAAGACATGGTACATACACAATGTTCACATAAAAATTACCGTTAAATACGTCCTTCTGTTTAAATTGACTTAAGAAACTTTATTTATCTTAACTTTTTTTTATGCAACTTAGAATGGCAAACAAGCAGACGGCCCACCTGATGGAAAGTGGTAACCGTCGTCTATCGACATTTAAGAGCAGTATCATTTTATGTACCTTTTTTTGTGTTTTAACACAATTTAATTATCTTATTTATTTACTTTGATTTTGTAAAGTTGACTGTTATTATATTAAATGTTTCAATTATTTGCAATGTTCTTAAACATATTTTATTAAATCACATTGTAATTCATAATCAGCCCGTTGTGAACTCGACCCAACTTGAAAGTTAATTTCTAAAGTGGAAGCGACTTAACCTCGGATCATTATTATTGACAATTTAACTCCCTTGATTCAATTAAAGCGAATCTTCTAAGCAAGTTTGATAACTTTATAGGATTCGAGTAGTACAAATAATGGGCTTCAATAAACAATATCAATTAGATATTAAGATTTTGTTGCACAAAAAAACAACGTCTCCAGTCATAGTAAAATCAATTATTTAATTATACCCTTATGTATTATATTAAATTAATAAAAGCTAAACTACTAAACTGATCTAGATAAAATTTCTATGGGAAAAAGCTATAGAATGCCCAGTTAAATTATTTTAATAACTTTACTTGCTTTGTAAAATTATAAATTTGTAGGTAACAAAGGAATCTAAAAGTTTAATTTCGATATATATATGTGAAATCTTAAATGTAAATTATAATACCAAAAGCTAAAAATTATAAGATGTTGTATAAGTGAGGCGTTATTCAATCGTATATTTTTGGTATTTCGATCGGGCATCTAGTTGGTGTTATTTATCGATGATAATAATGGCCTATTATCAACAATAAATATAGGAAAATAAAGCCACAAGTTTTTTATGACCTTTAAGGGATATGCAAAATGAATCGTGCGATTATATGCACTAAATTATCATCCTCATCTTCATTTAAAGTTATAGATCTCTTATAACGTAAATCCAAAATGATAAACATAGTACTAAGTAACTTCAACTAAGTAAGTACAAGTATAATTTATAAATTTGATTCAGTAATATTGTACCAGTACTATTGAGCTAAAGGATTAGACCAGATTAGATAACAACAAGATGGCTGCCGCTTCGTTGTGTTTTCTATCAACAGAATTACTCAATCAGCAGCACAATTAAAATCAATTCAAACGACCTTTGAGCAATTAGATTGGAGCACAGCGTCGACACTAATATTATGATACGGTATATTGGAATCTATTCATGTAAATATCATCGGAATATCATACCAGCCAATAATAGGTACTTAATGTCCTTTAAATTCATAAGTCTAAAGGACTTTAAGTACCTGTTATTGTCTGGAATGATATTATGATTTCACATTTATAACATAGGATACTAATGTTTAGAAAAATGTGGATTTGAATGGAATTTGGGACATGGATAGGATATATTCTATTGTAACTTAATTCGTAAGATATTTTATATACACGTGAGCAAAATAGCGAAAAATAACTGATTTAAAATATAATTGACATTGAAACGGTAAAGACATATAACAATAATTCTTTATCTACGTTCATTTTAGTTATATAACTAACGATGTTTTTTTATGGATGATAATGGAATGGTCACCCTACTTGTGCTAACGGTATACGCTGGCGGGGCACCAGTGAGAGGTAATAGGTGATGATGAAAGCAAGTTAACAGACCTGTTTTCATCGTCGCCCATTGTGACGAATTCCATTAAAATTAGTCACGATGGTTTCCAGGGTATACGCCAGTGTATACCGATAGCGCAGGCAGAGTTACCATTTCATTAGCTTTTTTAGTTTATCCATTACAATTTGAATCACCCATTCGGTTGAGTAATTTTTGAGTTTATCCATTACAATTTGAATAAAAAAAATACACAATGATATGCAATAAATGTTATAAACGAGGAATAAAATTACAAATGCTCTGTTAAATTTATTTATATATTTTAATAATATTGACATGAATGTAAAATTATAAGAATAATACAATTGTAATCATAAGGCATGAATACTTGTAATAGAAATTAAAAGCACATGCCTACCACGTTGGCAATTAATTGTTTCAAATTAGGTAATATTATCGTCTTTTTTATATTATGAAAATGCAATTAGTTGTCATTAAAGCTTTCTTTCTTTCCTTCTTTCTTTCTTCCCTTCTTTCTTTCTTCCTTATTTATTTATTTACACTTTTGCACACATTAAAATATGTCTGCAGGGTGAACTTAATGCATTTTCTACCAATCAACCGTTACATTTGTTTAGCGTATTTTAATGTGTGCAAAGTACCTATAAATAAATAAATAAGAAATCTTTCTTCTTAGGCTAATCTTTCTTCTTTCTTTTCTGTCTTTCTTTTGTTTCTTTATTTATTTCTTTCTTTCAATAATATACTAAAATCTTTATTGGTTTCAATAATCAAACCGCAATGATGGCCACAATATTCAATTTATCACACTAATTCAACTGTAGATGCGTTCACATTGTCTTCCAGCTACATGAGTATACAGTGTCGACGGTCGACTGTGCGCAATATAATTACGTTTCATTAGAGTGCTGGCCGTACGTTTAATTAATTAATTGCCATATACTCAACGCTAATATACGCGGTACATCATACAGCCTGGCTGTCTTGTTAAATTTGTATGATTCACTTCTGGCTGGTTCAATGGTTGTTGTAAAATTATAAGTGCAAAGACCTAAAGTCATTTTATCATCATTGTTATGTAAATATTTCGCTGTGTGGTCCCAGTATAGAATGGACCAAATTCTTCCTTAACCGTAAGTATCGTAAGAAGCGAATAAAGGATTTTTTTTACAACACAGGGGGCAAACGAGCATGCGGCTCACCTGATGGTAAGTGACTACCGCCGCCCATGGTCACCCACAACACCTACGGCATTGCAGGTATGCTGCCGGCCTTTTAAAAATGAATATGATCTTTTCTTGAAGGCCGAAGGGTGGGCAGCAGCGTCTCTTAAAACATCATCAAAGTCTAACCTAGATTGGCAACCCGCTTGCCAAGCGTAGCAACTATTGACTAAATCCCTCAATAGGTGGAGGCCTATATTCAGCAATGGAAGTGAACGGCTGATATGATGATGATTATGTAAATAATTTGTGATGCGCTATAACAAATTATTTCAACAAAGATTTCGTAAATGTGTTGTGTGTGTGTGTGTTTGTAGTTAGATGTTTGATTATGTCCTGCTTGTATGAATCAGTTGCAAATATTAACGTAGCTCGCATTTATGGTGAGTGTAACATTGACAAATTTTGACAAAATATACACAAATAAAAAAAATACCATATTTGAATTAAAAGTCCGATGCTAATGAATACAATTAACTTACTGGTCAAAAGGTGAGAATATATGGTGAGGTGGCCGGTGCTCGGGCGGCGCGTCCCTGGAACCAGCACTTCCTACTGATGGAGCCGGAGATGGGCAGCTCGTCTCTGACCTGGCAACATTATAATTAGTCATTAAGCATACTGCGTTGCTGTAAAACCATGCTGCAAACGATACTTCATCTTCTAATATGTGCTCTGAGTTCAATATAGGCAAGATAAAATGTAAGATTTTATTTCACTGATTTTGATAATTTTTATGGTACTAAAAAAAGTAACCGAATTGAGTATATATATATATATATATATATATATATATATATATATATATATTTATACTTCTAATAAACTTCTTTTTCAAAAATATCATATAAAAAAATTAAATACAACCACAAATTAGGTCAGTATTGTTTTAATATTCTAACCTCTCCGGTCGTGGTGATCTGTTGGGTGAACGGCGTGGCGAGCGGAGAGGTGAACGTCGGGGCGACCCTGGAGTGACAGGCGGCGAGCCGCGAGGCGACGCCACTCCTGACACCGGCGACGCCTCCGCTGAACCTCTTGACATACCACACTCCGATGAACCCTACAATAAGCCATTATGTATTTACCCCGAAGTTATTATTATTTTTATATAAAACCAATGTTCATTTTCTAATGATCATCATCATCATCATATCAGCTTATAACTGTCCACTGCTGAACATAAGCCTCCCCATTGGAGGGTTTTGCCAGTAGTTGCCACGCTTGGCAGGCGGATTGGCAACCGCAGTCAGGCTTGGCAGATGTTTTAAGAGGAACGCTGCTGCCCATCTCTCGCCCTCCCTTAGTCGGCTTTTACGACACCCACGAGAAAAAAGGGATGGCCTATTTTATGCTGCGACAAATGGCCATTTCTAATGATGTTTATAAGAGAGGAACTTTATAACTTCATTCAGAATCTTCGTCAGGTGTGTCTCGTTTTGTGTGAGACGAGATGCTGTGACGTAAAGCGTCGTAATCTCCCTGAAGAAGATTTCCAGATAAAGTCGAAACAATTAACGGAAACGACAAGGTAGTTCGTAAAATTATCGTTATACATACCCTGAAAGTATTACAGCATTTCTTACCATAAATCTTGTATCAAAGGCTTGATTATCTCATGTTTCTGCCGTGAACCAGATGCGCTTGCATGGCTGTGTTTCGGTTTGAAGGTTGGTATATAGTAGTGATATATAAAATATATAATACAATAGTGATTAGAGGGTACGAGATATAACGTTTTCATCATTTCTAGCACGAAGTATAATCGTGACAGCATTTCTTTTGTATTTCGTAAGTTACTTAATATATAAGACATTGATTGACGCAGGCAATCCAGTAGGAAACAGATAGTAAAGTTATATGTAGAACATGCCTTGTCATCAGAGGGATCCCTTTTGGTGAGAACATCAGCGCCCTCTCGCTTGCGCTGTTCCTCTTTCAACCGTTCTGCTTTCCGCCATTTCGCTCTTCGGTTTTGGAACCAAACCTGTCACATAATGTTCAATTTATTATAAAAAAATAATATTCACCTTTTTCACAAAATCAAATAACCTACTACTTGTATTATATTGTGTAATATAATTCATTAATATAATAATAATTTATAATTTTTATTTATCAATTATTTATTATTTATTTATTTAAATAACTTTATCATCCTAATAAGCCATTGGCGGGTGGATTGGCAGTCATGCTTTAGATATGTTTTAAGAGGGACGCTACTGCTCATCCCTCGTCCTCCATTAGTCGGCTCTTACAACACCCACGGAAAAGGATGGAGTGGCCAATTCTATGTCGGGACCACACGGTCAATTCACATATATAAAAGTATGAAATTTATTGTAATAGTCTCATTGGTTGAGTCAAGTTCAAACACATTTAAGTGTAGTTCCAAAACAAACATACTATAAACAGCCCTAAAATACACAAGCATTTTAAAACAATTCTAATAAAAGTGTCCTATGATCGTTATACAACAAAACAAACAATATTTTATTATTCTTCATACATAAATAATAATGCCCATAGACCACAATGCCCCTTCTGGTGTGCTGTCAACACTACAAGTCTTTTATATCACATCATTACCACCCTATTTTGTCGGTTGTTATAACTCAAAGATTACAGATCATTGCAGAAAGCGAGGGTGACCAAATGAACCATATACAAGACCTCGCGTACAACTGGAAACGTACGCTACGGGAGCTCACCGTTTAATGGTTATTCCATGCTACGTCCAAAACGATAGGACCTATGTTGCGATGATAGTAGTTCGCTACAAGAGGTCCAATTAAACTGGACAGTGTAAGCTGGTTAGCCAGGCACGGCAGGGCCGCATTTGCAGTGCAATTTTCGCAATTTACTTTTAATAAGCCCTCTGTTGGGTGAGAGTGCTATGAAATCTTGTGGTGATGAGAAATAAATTTTGTTTAGAAGCGACAGAAGGTAGAAATGTGTTTTTATATTTATTTAATATTGATATTTAACTGAACTTAAAGATAAACAAGTTTTTAACTCGATTAATATTTTTATGTGATTTTTTGATAACTACAAATCATTAAGTAAAGGGTGGGGGGAATGAGTTGATTGTAATGGCAATTAGCAATCCCTTTGCTAGTAATATACCCTATCAGGTTGACCTGGAAACCACTGTGACAGTTTTATTATTGAATTAGTCATGATAAGTCAAATAACCTGCTTCATCCTCACCTATTATCCTTTATAGGTGCCCCACAAGTGAATACCGATAGCGCAGGCGGGGTTCCATTATCATCCATAAAAAAATTTAATGGTTAATTTAATTAAAAGATTATTTTAATTATAATAGAATATTTGATGAAAAATAATTATAACTATTTATTTACAGTAAATAAAACAAAATTACTATTATGCCCCAAATAAGTTTTGTGTATGCTGTGTTTCCTTAAAAATGATAGTACACTATGTATAAATAGATAGTAATCTTAATACTAAATGATATCAATGTAAAAATTGCTGGGATCCCAAATAAAGATAAAATAAAATGAAAAATAACAAAAAAAAAATACGATACTTATTACTATGAAAAGACCTCTCATTTCATGTTAAAAAAAAGCTCTCTACGTCTACAATGTGACACTCACGTTTTAAAAAATGCGTTATTTACGTAAAATATTTAAACCTGTGCTAACGTAGGCAAAAAACCAAATTCAACTTTTTATACTGCGACTTGTTGTTATTCTTTGACCCGCTTCGACAATGTAGTCCCTTAACGATCGCAAGCTAATTTCGTTAAAATAATAATCCGCCATAATCCGAGGCTACTCTAATAGTTTTTATCTTACTTACATGGGGTAAAATTAATATTTCAACGCGCCGAGCTGCACTGCACCCCCTTTGTAACATAACGACGAATTCTCTGAAGTATTGAGGGTTGTCAATATTTTCTACTGACTTCAAAAAAGGAGGTTCTGATTTCAGTTATGTATATTTATTTTTAGTATTCAGTTGTATGAATGTGAATGTGAATAGGACTCCATTTTCCGTGCTTAACCTCTAATTTGGGCCGTTGTGCGTATGAATCGTAGCTAGTACAGCCAACCTAGCTCCGCCCAAAAGCATAGAAGCTTCCTGGGATCTTCACAGTTGTATATTTAGTTGTGTATATTAAGTTTAAGTATTATTTATGTTTGTTGCCTCGTAACTCCGTCAGTTGTAAATCGACTTATAAAATTCTTTTTTTATCTGAAAGGATATATTGCTTGCTGATTGGTTAGAAATTTATCAAAATGGGTTCAGTAGTTTAATTTTATATATATATATATATATATATATATATATATATATATATATATATATATATATATATATATATATATATATAATCAAGTCTGTTTCTTTTTTCACAAATCAATATGATAGAGTTATAAGGTAACAGATATAAAAAATGTAATCGAATTAAGAGCTTTCTTCTTTTTGACGTCGCTTCAAAAGAACATAAATTTCAAAAATAATATCATTATAATTATAAATAATGTGAGCAAAAGTGTATGAGAATTTTTCAGTCAATTAATAAAACATCATGGGAACTTTCCGTTTGTACAAAACATTTTTTATTCACCAACCCGGTCATCGATCTTAGACAAAATACTCTAACAGGCACTAGCCCTAAGAGGCACGAGTCAATAATTTATTCATTGTTAATCAATAATGATTAAACAGGGTTATACAGTATTATAAGTAAAATCTATTCTACGTACGTACTTATCAAAAGTAAACCCTTCAACGTATCAACATCGCATTTACACTTCAACATCGACAAGGTTCTATTCTCATAGAAAACACATGTTAACATGCGACTTTGTCATTATAACTCAATGTCACCATTCAGCGGAGACCTCCCGCGTCTTTCTACTTAGTTTAAACACTGCAACACAGAAGGAGGTCGTGATAAATTGGCAGGGGGTCAAAGTAAATTGGTCACTTTATAAGGGGCGTCGTAGACAGTAGGGGTGCGTAATTACCTAGTGTTTGGTAAACGATTGTTTGCCTTTGTTACACTGTGAATTGAGTACTGGCTTTAAATAATAACAAATATGTATTGTTTAATGCAGTGGAGGTAATAGCTCTTGATGGGGCGTTTGTTTGCTGTAATCTTTTGTTAACGACAGTACTATGTTGATGCAGTTGTAAACTGACGATTTTACTTGCTAAGTGGTGCTTAATATGATTTTTTTATACTACTATGGTGATAAACAAGCATACGGCCAATCTGATGGTAAACGGAGTTACCGTATGGTCGCCTATGGATCCCTGTAACACCAGAAATGTTATGCTCGCATTGTTGACCCTTATGTGAAGTTTGGAAAGATTTTTGTATGAATTTCAATGGAAATTAATAATAATTATATTAGCAAACACTAATACTGCAACATATATTTTCGAGGTTTATTCTCTCCATTCATTTATTTATTTTACATTTTATTATACACAAAAAAAAGAAATACATAATAATTTATTTATTAATTTAATACATTCAAGTACATTGTACTTGGCGTCAATTTACTGGGTACAGAGGAATAACATCTGAGTCCTTAAGAATGGCAACGCATGGGGGTATCATGGGCGAAACAGTATACTCTGTTAGGTCCATGGTACTGCTCATGTCTATAGGCGACAGTTACCACTTTCCATCAGGTGGGCCGTCAGCTTGTTTGCCATTCTAAGTTGTATAAAAAAAATCGTGAAAATACGAAAATGTAAATCAATTACTTGTGTAAATGTTTCGATTTGTTAATCATTTCATCATCATCATCATATCAATCATTGTCTTCATTCAACGTATTTTCAATAATGCCTACCGCTAAAAAAATGCCTCCCATAATGGGAGGTTTTCCCAGTAGTTGTCACGCTTAGCAGGTTGGTTGGAAACCGTAGTTAGGCTTTGGTGACATTTTAAGAGTGATGCTGCTGTCCACCCATTGCCCTTTAAGTTCCCTTAGTCGCCTCTTACGACACCCACGGTAAAGGAAGGGGTGGCACATTCTATAGATGGACTACACGGCAATCTTGACATTAGTACATGTAATTTCAAATGGTTAATGTATTTTTTTTTCTATATGAAGCGCCGAATAAATATTTTTACTATTCTATTCTATTAGTGTAGAGTCATTGAAACACTAAGAAAAAACAAACAAATAAATACTACTAACTGTATTTCGCGATTTTCTTTGCGTAAATCATGATAAAAATAACTGTATTTTAAAACTAATAGCACTATATTATATCTATGCACTGAATTTAATTTAAAGCCATTCATCTGTTCAAACATGATTGAGTTGCAAATATCCAACACAAACTATCATTTATAATATTAATAGATAGTATATTAGTGTTATAAATACAGAAAAAAAGAGAAGATAGATAGATAGATACTTTTTATTGTTTCCTCCGAAAGATTACAACAGTAAACTTCTTCTAGATATAAACAATTACAAGAAATAATCACATTGTGAAAACAATGAGCGACCTTATCGCTAAAAGTGATCTCTTCCAGGCAACCTTTGGATGGAGAGGAGTAGTTATAAACAGTTTGATTGGAGGTACACAGAGAAGATAAAACTATAAAATTTAATAATGTATTTAATATTAATTTAGTAAAATAATATACTTAGTACTTACATACGAGCATGTATGTATAACTTAATCTTTTAGTTGCATTAGCAATGTTGATTATAATACTTAAGATTCACCTAACGCCTATTACAAAGTAACATGCTCAACTCAAAAACTTTAACGAGTTGCTAAATCCCCCATAATTTCATGATGAACTCCCCACTTAAAGTTAAACACACGTCATAACTTTAAGTAAAAACCATCACCTTAAAAGTAGCCTTAATTACGTCAGTGCGCCGTAATGTTTTAAAACACTACATACGGGGAGTTAACGTAACATTAACGTGAAAGTTAACGTTAATAACCGTTGAAAATATGTTAAGAAATACGAGG